TTCACTGCAGCTGCTTACATTACACCGCCCACTCTTTTTCTGCTTTAAGTGCCACCTCTGGTGCCTGGTTTCTAAGAGTTAGTTGTATGTATATATATATATATATTTATGTATGTATATGCATATACATGCATTTATAAGTATGGTTAACAAAGTCGAACAGAGAAACTAATTCTGGTTGTTCATCTGCACAGAGAGAGAGGACAGAAGCTCTGGGAGAGAAAAAGAGGGACACATCGTGGAGCGATAAGTGGCACAAAAAGTTCAAGAGTGGATGAGGTCAAGTGCAACACAAAGAGGTCGGCTCTACAGGGAGACAAACGGGAGAGAACAGGATCGAACAAATTTAATGAGTGAAGGGGGTGAAAGAGAGAAATAGAGGTCTAGGAAATGGTGTGCGAGAAAATCAAAGAAAGAGGAGAGATGCTGTGAATTAAAAGACTCGCCAGCTCAGCCATTGTTTGTCTAAGTGGTGGCACTGGGCCTCTATGGCAGATGCAGTTTATATTTAGCTTTAAGTATTTGGTCTATACAGGAACCTCATGCAAGGAGTGCTACAACAACTGCTGACATTTTTCACACCTCTTTGCACAATGTTGTTTTGTCTGGCTTTTTCATTCTGCTAGGAAGTGGTTTTGATTCAGCCTGGTGCTTCTATTACTGCCGACACTGCTATTTAAACGCTGCTGACGTTAATTCTGTGAACTTCAGTGTCGCCACCTTTCTACTGATACTACACTTATTAAAACTTATCCTTCAGACCTTCATTGACAAAAACAAAACATTCTTTTTTGTCCATTAGTCATTCTTTTCTAAAGGGCTCGATTATGTGATACCAAATAAAACATCTCTGACCCTTAATCCAGAGGATTAATGGTGTAATAAACACTCCACAATATCCCATAACCAAAAGCTTACTCATTTGACTGTCATTTGACAGTTACCAGCTTCAGACACCACCCTTAGAGCTGAATAATTTGCTGCTAAAAAAAACTCATACACTAAAGCTATGGCTGAATGAATCTGATAAGGGGCCCAAGGGCAAAAATGATTAGTACATAGTAATAAGCATTATTCTGCACAAATGACTTTGTGATCATTTTTTCCACCATAAGTCAATGAGAACTATGTCACGAGACCTCCAAATGGGTTAGTCAAGGTTATCTAAATAAGACTCAAATACTTTTCGGATGTTCACATACCCCCCACCCCCCCACTGCTTAACACATAGGACTTCATACACTATTGCAATCTTTCTTCCAGCTCTATCTTTATATGTGTACGTTCACTCAGCTCTGACTAAACTAAACTGGGCTCTGATGTGTGTGTGGGGGAGTAACGCAGGATGATATGAGGCTGTTTGCATGTGTGTGTACATTTGTCATCAGCTCCAAGAATACTTCAACAACTGTTTTTAGGGACACCGCCTGCTTCAGTTATCATAATCAGTATAGGTATCCTTTTGTACTTCTTCAAAACCCTAAAGTGCGAGATTCCTTTGTGTGTGTGCGGTGGTAGACGTGGATGGGTTTTGATACGCGAGTGAGGTCAAGTGTGTGATCAAAAGCGAGGAGAGAGCGTGAGAGAGGGAGAGAGAGAGGGGGAGAGCGAGTGGAGAGTATTTTTCAGAGAGTTTGTCAGAGTCTGGTAGCCGTCAGGAGCGAAAACCGCCTTTTTTTTTTTCCAAGGAATCCAGAGTTGCTTTTAGTAAAACATGATGCAGGCTTAAGGACGACTAAAAAGAAGATGCTGCAAAGAGGATACTGAAACACTGAAACTCCTGACTGGTGTGATGGGGACTGTAAGTGAGCTTTGTGCGTCCAGTTTCCAGGCATTTCTCTGCCCTACAGTCCGCCCGGGGCCACCTGCTGCAGGTGAGAGCTTTTTAGGAACCCCGTCTTCTTGGTTTGGATAGAAAATGTGTTGTCAGGTATTTGTGAGCAGATTTCAAGGATTACAAGGTGTTCATGAGTTTGAAAAAAGTGCTTAAAAATGAAACATTATTGTTGTTATCGCAGCTTTTTGTTGGTTTTATGTTGCTCAGAGCGACGTGGAGTGCAAGACTGGCACAAAGTGCTATCAGTGTTCAGTTGCCTTGGTGATTTTCAGTTAGGCTATCAAGACACAGAGCACTCTGTAGTGTGCGTGTGTGTGTGTGTGTGTGACATTTCTGTGTACATACATGAGTCAGTGTGTATGTGTTTGTGTGAGATGGTGGGCTTGATTCGAGAACATGACGCACACCCATCACGGTCTTGTCCAGGATCCTCCTCTCCAGTGGGTGCTGCACAGAGTGACATAATCTCCATCGCTGCCCACTGCTCTCCCTCTGTGCAGGTGCTTTCATGTTGTGTCAGGGTGCTCATTCAGAAGCCGTTATAACGCCATGAAAGCAGCACACAGGTTACATCCATTTACCTTGAGCTTTTATGACTTTCCAGCAGCTTCTTATAGCTTCTCTTTCTTTCTTTTGTTCCTAAACCCTTTAGTCGATCAGTTAAACTGTAGCCTGCTTTGACATTACGATTTTAGCACCCTCCTCTTGAAATGTTTTCATGTTTTCTAGTTTGCTGTTAAATTAAGAGGGCTGTTCTTCGTTTAAAGTTACTTAATGTGCAGAAAAAGAGGAATGAGGCTGATAAAGACAAACATTGTAACAGCACAATTCTATAATATTAACAGAAATTGATGTGATTTTGCTGACAAACTTCACAAACTTGTTGATATTTATGATTTATGAAGTTCAAATGAGAAGTGGACTTTTTTTAAGGCCTGCTTTGTCAGCCCTGATTGAAGACTTACTGGTTCAGTTACCTCAACTTGTGCAGACAGTTTAGTTCAGTGCATCCAAGCTTTTAAATATGCTAGCCCTCTATCTCAGTGTGAAAATCAGCAGCAGCTTCTCTAAAAGTCCTTTTTTCACTGTTGATAACGGACTGACCTCACTGTGAGCTGTTTGAATCATAACCAGAAAAAGTCCCCCTTAAAGCAAACTGTTTTTAATGTTTTCCGAGCTGACCCTTTAAGCTGTTAAACAGCAGCAGCTCTTCCTTACCCCACCCCAACATATCCTGTTTTGACGTGTCCGAACTCTGAATAAAGCACCAATTCAGGCGCACAGCTGCAATCCTTTTCCCTCCTTTCCTCCGTCCTTCACTACACCCTCTCCTCTCCCTTCCTTTTTCACACAGGCAGGCTATCTCTGATATCAAACCCAGCTTCCTCTGGCTTCACACCCTCGTTGTTAAATACGTTTCTCTTTTCCAGCGGGTGGGTACTATTATTATAACATTAAATGTAGAGACAAGTATGTCACTTTGTCAAAATCCCCAGCCCAAAAGCCATTAAAGGTGATTTTAGCTCACACATTAATCAGTATAGACATAAAAACATACAAATCTGAAGTTGCAAACATATAATGTTGCTGTAATTTTCAGTTTTTTACTACACAAAATTATCTATCTATCTCTCTGTACATAGTTGGAGTCAGATATGCTGGTCTGCATAATTCAGAAAGATCTCATCTGCTGGGATTTTCTAGCATAATAATCTCTAGGATTTGCAGAGAAAAAGAGAAATTATCCTGTGAGCCACAGTTCTCTGGAGAAAAAATGGGCAAATTTCTTGCTGAGGTCTGAGGTTTGGGGGGGAAACCTTAAACCATTGCTCTGATAGGAGGGCAACGGTATAACTTACTTAACAAGTTGTTACAACCAAGGTATAGACAAGACCATCTCTGAACACACAGCACCGGAAACCTTGAAGCAGATGGGCTACGTCAGTAGAAGATACCACCATTTGCCACTGCTGTCAGCTAATAACAGGAAATTGAGGCTACAATTCACACAGAATCACCACATTTTGACAGCAGAAGATTGCAAAAATGTTGCCTGGTCTGATGAGTAATGATTTCTGCTCGGACATTTGGATGGCAGGGTCAGAATGTCCCTTAAGCAAAATATAATGATGTGAGAGATATTTTCTTTGCACACTTTGGGCCCCTTAGTACCAACTCACCATCAATGAAACACAACAATCTACCAGAGTACCTTTATGACCACAATGACCAATCTTCTGATGGCTGCTTGCAACGGGATAACGTAACTCATCAAAAAAGCTTAGTTAGGTTTTTTGAACGTGACAATGTGGTCACTGTACTCAAATGACCTCCACATTCATCAGATCTCAGTCGAATAGAGCACATTTAGGATGTTATGGAACTGGAGTCACATGAAGGACATAGAACCAACAAATCTGATGCTATCATGTCACTATGGACCAAAGTCTCTGGCCAACATTCCCAGTACTAGCAAGGTGTACCTAATGAAGTTCATAAGTGTGTGTATACTATGCATATAGTATATGCATATGCATATATACTATGCAGTACATACACAAACATATATCCTATTCTATACACTGTATACTATAGTTGAGGCCTCTATAGTTGTATACCTAAATGAAATAAAGAAATTGTCTGCTTGTGAATTTATATTTTCACAGTGTAGATTTACCTGATAACCAGCAGCTCCACGAAGTGATCCCGGGAGGAGACACAGATCCTTTGAGTTTGCGTAAGAAAAGACATCCGGTGTAAAAACTCCCTTGGCGACCCCTTCTGCGTAAGTGAGCACCAGAAAGTAAAGGATATGAAGTATAAAGGATATGAATACAATAACTCATACCTATTTTTATTTTTAATTTCTGAAGACAGACAGACAGATAGACACATAGATAGGTCTTTGATTGGCTGTTGCCGCTTAAGCCACGCCCCCCATCATCCTGCCAGACACCGGCTGTCTCTTCGTAGTCAGTTGTCATCAACTGCCAGTCTAACGGTAACTGACTGAAAAACTAGACACACTATAGCCACTCATTTGGGCTTTAAAGTTACTTAAAAAGTGTCACCTTTAGCGTGGTTTCCTGGGGACAGCGCTGACCAACAGTGGAACATGGTTCTGGAAATGGAAGACGAAGTTGGTAAGTTACCTGACGCGGTTTAGTTAAACAGCGTTAACCTAGAGGCTAACACGGATAGCTAGCGCACTAGCATAACTTTGTGCATAGTTATGGATAGGTAAGCGAGGCGAGCTCGCTCCAGTAGCAGGTACTTTTTTAGTATGTGTTTTGGCATTTAATATCCTGTACTCAGAGCGAAAGCAACAAGTCCTCATGTGTCTGACTTATTAATGCTCTTTGGCAGTCTTTATTAACTGGCACAAGAGATCTATTATTATTAATCTGGGTCGGTGCCAGACCTCCTGGGGGGCTATACTTATTGTGCAGCACCAGATGAGTCTATAAATACAATCAATGCAACCATTTATTGGTTCGGAAGTGAATGAACTGTACTCAAAAACGGCAAAGAGTTGTCAACAACACAGGAGGCTGTAAACACACGCACACGTATAGTTATGAATTTGGATTATAAATCAGCGTCTTCGCAGCACCGCTGCTGTTTCCTGTGAAAATGACAGACAGGATACATACAGAATCTCATACAGGATGGTGCCCCACCTTATTCTGAAAAATAGATGGCTTAATGTTCATAAGAGCAAGGGAAAGCTATCAAAATGAACTTCCTGTAATATGAACTGCATTAAAAGCTTTATTTCACCTTATTTTGGAGCATCATTTTAGTAGTGTGTTTCTTCCACTTTCTGTGCACTGCAGCTGACATTTTATAATGCCCGCACTTTATTTCTCTGTAATTTAAGTATTTCTTCTCCGGGGCACATCGTGTTCCCCCTCATGTTCTTTTCTCATTTTATCGGTTTTAGCCTCATTGCTTATTGGACTTAGTCTTAAGGCTGTACAAATGCAACCAGGGAGGATTATATCCTTACTGTTGAGCCAGTTATCCTTGAAATGGACAATTATGGGCTTGTGAACACTGAAACAGACAATTACTGCCTTGTGAGCATTACGAGACGCTGAGAGCTCAAAGTACAGATATTTTTCTTGTCGTAACCAAACTGCTTTGCCTTAGGTCCTGGGTCATGGTACTTTCTGGTGGCAAACACATGTGATGAGCAGAGAAAGGAGAATAAACTGTTGTTTTTGATATTGGCTGCATTTTCCATCCCCAGGAGAAGTGAGTCAGCCTTCTCATTGCTTTACCATATATTTTGGTATGGCTTTGTTTTGGAGACGCACAAGGGTTATTTCCAGCTCTGAACAGGCCTTCGGTTCATGGCTACACGTGGTATTAACTGCATGGAGCCTGAGTTGCATCACTTAACAAAGATCTATACATTTCCGTGTTAACCATTAAAACACAGTATATTTATAGATTCTGTCATCCTCTTTGCCTCCCACACTTTTTTTGACAGAGTGAAACAAGAAGTCTTTCTATCTGGGGTTTATTTCAGGAGAGGTCTTTGTTTCGAAGGTGCCTTTGTAACATTAGCTAACATCTCCCAACAGATTATACTGTCCAGGTTCCTTTTGCAGTGGTACCTTTTGACATTTTCTCTTATTTTCTTTAAGCAGTGGAGCCGTGGTTAGTTGTGATTAGATTTTGTCTAGTCTTCCTGCTTGTCAAGCTGTCATGAGCCCCACCATCCAGCAACCTTTTCCTTTTTTTAAGGAATATTTTAGGGATTTTAATTTGCCTCTTTATGGGAATCACTCATTCATCACTTTTGTGCAAGTTAAAGCAAGAATGTTGCAGCTCAGTCAGCTGATTCAGTGGCTGTGGATGAAAGGAAAACTGCTTTCTGGAGGTCAAAGACACTAAATAAACAGCAAATAAGCTTAATACAGTCTTTGAAAGAGAGTTTGAAATGCTTGCTTGTTTGTTTTTAACTGGCTAAAACTGCTTCATTGGGCTGGAAGGCAAACAATGTCCTTGCTCATGTGAAGCTGTACCCCCCGTCCTTTTTTAAAAATTTCCTCCTGGTCCCCAGTCTCCACGTGGGGGAGTCCGTTCATTGATGGAGTAAATGAGCAAGGGAGGAGTCAAGATGGACAGAAGGAAGAGGAGGGGGAGAGAGATGAGAGTTCAAGGGTTTCCCCCCTCTTAAACACACATTTGTCCTTATCCTCATTTGCTGCCCTCCCTCCTTTGCTGGAATGAGGTTATAAGGACTACAGAGGTTAGACTGGAGGACCACAGGATTTGGGTTAGGGATTGGAAAGTTTGGTCAAAGCTGGTTTATTTGAAAGAAACACGCTTTTTCTTTTACTGGAAGTGATGATAAACCTAAAGCTGTGTGGACTTCAGAGCTATAAACTGGGCTGAGCTGGTTGTACTGGGACCATTCTTGCTGCCGGTGGCGTCTCTCGGCAGACAGAAGCTTTCTTGGGTATGAGTATTAGAATTATGACGCAAATGTGTAGGTGTTCAGTTATCCTGAATGAGTGCATGTCCTCTTGTGAAACTTTTTGAGAACGGAAACCAAAACAGATGCTAACTGTAGCTTGACTGATGCGGTTTTTTTGTCTCTCTGCTTAAGGAGGATGTGATGTGGTGCAGACGGTGGAAGCAGGTTATAGAGCAAACTTTAGGCCTAGGTTTGATGGTTGGATGTGCCAAGCAGCTGGTCCTAGCAGAGACACTAATACATACTCAGTGCCCTTGAGACTATGCAGAGCAGCTGGTTTGCAGAGTGAGATGAGGTGTCTTGGTATTTATGCCAGACTCTCTCTCTCTGTGTGTGTGTGTGTGTGTGTGTGTGTGTGTGTGTG